CGAAGGATCAATATTCCTTAATAGTATTATAGGGCATCCAGTTTTGAGTCGAAGGTAATGAGGAGGTAAACCACTGATATTTATAGAGTTTAAGAATTCCATCGGATAGAAATTGTTCTTATCATCTTCTGCCTCATCAAAACTATAGTAAATCCTCTCCTCTCCACAAAACCTATCAATCAGTTGATCATTAATTTCATCAACACTTTCATTTTTTGTTGATAGTATCGCCCTGGAAATAATATACTCTGAAGAGCCTCCATTGATGTGCAAAGAAGGAAAGATTGCATTAATCAACTCGTTTTTTGATTTGTCTTGGTCGGTGTAAGGAATGCACATATCATCAAGTATTCGGACAAAACTTTCATCGATGGTTTCTTCATCTCCGTTGCCAACTCGTATAAAAAAATCTGAAAACCATGGATCGGCCAGTGCTCTCATATTTATAGTTAAACGTATTTTTTAATCAAATACCAAAGAGGTGACATCCTCAAGCTGGCGTCTACAATCTGTGCTCTAGTACCACGTCTGATTACTGGTAACACCTACCTAAAATCACCTCCCAAGATCATTATCTTTCCACCAAAAGGGAGGCTCACCTTTGTAATGTCTTGCATCGTTCGATCCACTGCCTCTACTGCTTGCCTATTCGCCATTGATGCTTCATCCCATATGATTATTTTGGCCAAACGAAGTAGTTGAGCAACCCCACTTTGCTGATTGATTTTGCACATTGAGTTATTATCAAGATTTATCGGAATCTTAAACCGCGAGTGAGATGTTCTCCCCCCGGGCATATTATTAGCTGCAGCACCAGATGAAGCTGTCGCAAGTGAAATATGACCATGGGAACGAACCTCGGCAAGTAAGGCTTTGTATAAAAATGTTTTACCAGTTCCACCAGGACCATCTATAAAAAACACACCCGGACGATTCTGATTAACGTGGGTCATGATCTCATCATATGCATTTTTTTGGTTTGGTATTGAGAGAATCTTTTGCACGAAGGTGTTCATCATCCACAACGATGGAGTACTCCTCTTGGACCTCGCGATAATCTCCAGATTCCAAATTGATGTTTGTATTTACCATAGGAAGATCAAACTCATTGAGATGCTTACCCATAGATTGCAAAATTATAGAGATATCCATAAGAACCATGGTTTGAACTCGCTCAACACTTTCACATTGTCGCATATAATCTTCAGAAAGTGAATTATAGTGGTCATCCCATAACTTGCGAACATCTCCGGGTTCGCAATAAATGAGTATAGTTGCAAATAACCTTCTAAGAGCACCTGGAAATTGATATAATGAGGCCTCAGTAAGACATTGAGATAGGTTATCATCGGTCTCTATTAACCCTCTCTCAAGAGCAGCTTTACGAAATGTTGGATGTAACACGTTGTTCACCATGTAAAGATCTTCAAAGCATGTTGGCCCTATAAGATGTGATAGGAGAACCCGTAAGTAGTATCTCTCTCCTTCGGCAGGGTTAGCAGAAACCAATCGGCCTCTCATTGCTCATTTTTTCCTTTGTTTCCAACAACGTTTGGTTGCATTCCATGTAAAGTATCTTGGGAATTCTTTATATAGATATTGCCTCGCATTCTCATCCATTTTATTCATGTCAAAAAATGCGGTCAACATTAAACTCTTATCTTTCTCCCTGTCCACAATATCAATCATTGAATCATTATCTGAGAATCTAATCAATTGTTGGTTCGGGAGATGAAGATGCAAAGACATGACGAAAGGGTGGATTTGAGAAAGCGCAAAGCTAAAAATCCTCCATATTGCCTCAGGGGTGAGACGTAACGTGCATCTTGATATCTTTTGATCTCATTGATGATGGGTTCCGTTCCATCTTGATCAATGTGGACAACTTGTTTGTCATGTCCCTTGTAAACGTATTTAAAAGCATATTTCACAGATTTTATGCTCGAGCAAACCTCGACATTCATGTGGCAATTGAACATCATTAACAGCTTCGGGTTATATGGTACCACCCATCTGTTATCAAGTGTATTTCCTCGTACGTTGACCTCTATCCCATTGTTTCTCCTCCTATATAATGGATATGAGTCTTCTCCTTGTGTCGTCGCTTCATTAAATTGTCTAGGATATCTCCACCGACATTGTTTTGGCTCTCCTTGCATACATGGACTGGTTTCTCGTAAATGACCACAAGGACCGTGCATCATATGCTTCACAACAATTTCGTGCATTTTGGGATACTTTTTCGGATCGGGAAGTTCAGCACACACCATTTTGTCATAATGGTCAGCATTTGTCATCTTGTGTTCTGGTCTCATTATCAAGAGGAAATGTGCATGTGGCAAACCACGCTTTTGAAACTCCACCACATAAACATATGCTCGAACCACACCCAGGATATGGTGCTTTAGAAGTTGGTCCTTTAGATCCTCTAATTTTGCACGAAACACTCTTGATACAAGGTCTGGTCGATCTTGTGCACTTTGCCCGGGTTTCAAATCATCAACAATTTCTGGCCAGTTTGGATTGCATGTTACTGTAAGGAATATATCAGGCTTTCCGTCATCTTGAACTAACGTCATTGCATCTAGGAACCTTCGTCGCATGTCACGTGGTCCACCGATGAAAGATGCAGGTAAGACTATCCGTTGACCGACTCTACTTGGTTCAACTTCACCGGCATTGACACAGTCAACAATTCCTTGGTAAAGGTCGGATCTTATCTTCTTTTGGTTTAGCTTACAAAAAAGCAAGCGTGAAGTCTCGATCTTTATGTAGATATCTACCACAAATTGTTGTAGCAATCTTCTTCCCAATAGAATTAAATTTTTAGATGAACGAATCTGGAATTTGTAACAGTAGTACTCACGCATTGTTATGGTATTCCTACCCTTCTTTGACTTAGCCCCTGCATAAGGGTAATGTTAGAAACATGTAAATTTTGTATTTATGTATATTTTTACCGAAATCATTCATTTTCATATTTCAAAAATGTATGTACCTTCTAAATCATCCACAATATTTTCTTCATTACCCACAACTTCATTGATGGACACCCCATCCCTTGCTATTTTTGCATGCCAACCAGACTCACCATTAGGAAAGAACAATGGATAAGACAAAGGATCATAACAACCTTCGTAAGGTTGAATTTGTGTACTATAGTCAGATCTCCCATATACCACAATGCTTCTTTTATATGTTGTTATGTTGTCATTACCTTCTACCCAAATACCAGCAACCTATATAATTTTTGATTTTAGTATGGTGAATATATAATACGATAACTGATATAATGACTTGAAATTAAGAGAAATAATTATTATATCCAAACCTCAGATGTGGTCGGCCGATTGTATACCCTTTGGTCAAGTTCCACTGATGCGTTCAAAGTGACTCTATAGTTATCGAGAGGTCCTAGCTCACGAAGGCTTCGAAACGTTGTAGCATACGGGTTTGTTGAAAGAACGCCCACCAACACTTGAATGATCTTTCGATCAATATTTGGCCATTGAAGTCTATGTGTAAAGTCGGTTTCGGAATCATAGAAATATAATTGTAAGTACCTAGGTAATCCATCCCTCGGTACTAACTGATCAATTCTGTGATATATTGCTCCGTTCGCACGAAATGTATATACTCCGGATTTCATATTGCTCAAATCATCATCCAACTCTACTCCCATAGATGTGAAAGAAAAGTTTGTATTGTAAGCAAAATATATTATCTCTAAATATTTTGCTTGACTCCTCTTCTGATGTAAAAAGACGATATAACTCATCAGGAATTTGGGAAGATGCCAACTTTGTTTTCCCACTCATGCAACAAAAAGTAGCGAATTCATGTTTGAACCGTTTGGCTCCACAATGAACACATATATTACTTCCCTCCAAAATAGAATGTACTTCAGGGATACCATCGAAAATAGAATGGTATGGATCCTCTAGAAGAATGTCATCTGGAATTACTTGATTGACATGGACCTCGCTACAACCTCCAACTTCTATAATATATGAAAAAACAACTATTTTTAAATGAAAGATAAAAAAGATGTAATTGTTCATTTTAAATAATGATGGTTTATACTAAAATTTGTTGTAGAATTAAATTAGGACTAACCATCTAATGTTTCGTGTGTTAACCCCGAATATATTTGGTTGTTTTCTTCAGCACGTGTAACATGATGTTTGTGAATGACCTCTGCAGTAGCAAATATACTTTCATTGTTTCTTTGTCGGTGATCTCTTTCAAGCATTCTCCTTTTTTCTTTGTTGCGTTCATAATACTTTTTGTTAGTATCTTTCCTATTTTGAGCAGCTTTATCCTTACTACGCGGCATAATATTTTCTTTGTCTCTGGCTCGAGTACCATGTGAGGTTGAATGGTTATTTGCGGATAGCATTATTCCACCACTACATTGGTTTTCCAAGTTTTGTAATGGTACCTTTTCTAATTGTTGTTTGGTCTTAATTCGTACATAATATTCACGATTAGCTTTTTTTCTTTTTTTTGCACTACTTTGGGGTTCCTCACAAATAACAACCTTTTGCTTTTTGTTTTGCGTAAATCGTGTTTTCCAATATTCTTTGTTGTATCGTTTTCTTCTTTCTACAATAATATTAATAATACAATCCTTTTTCTTATAAGTTTTTTAGTTCAAATTAAGAAAAAACAATATATGATTATCATTAATATATTATGCATACCTTTTTCGATATCTAAAGAAATTTGCGTCAAATCACCATTTTCATTTTCACTATCTTGGGTCCCCATTTCACACTATAAGTTTATAAAACATAAATAAAAAGCATATTATATCTACCAACTCAATACATAAATTTGTTCAATACTTGAATAATATAGATCAAAGATAATAAATTGCAACATAATAGATATATTAAGGTTACAACAACAAAATACCAATAGTTAATATTCTTACATAAACAAACCACCAACAAACGTTCTTAAGTTGTTTATTTTTAAAATTGAAATACATAATTATATCATCCATAAATCGCCCTAATAGCATTTGCTTCTGCCATAACCGGCTCAAATGCAACCCTCGAAATGGATGTAGAATCCAAAAAGTTCACTGAAATTAATTTTTATACATTAATACTTCATATGGATAATAAAAATAATTAATTTGTTAAATGATTTGAACTGAAAAGTTTATACTTACTACCCCCTCGGCTTCGATATTTAACACGAGATACATATATGATCCATTTCTCTTGAATTGATCGTGCGAGTTTAAAAGGTAAGGCTTCAGGACCATCATTCAAAATCAGCTGAATTACATAGCCACTATAATCATTTTAAATATTAATTTTAATAGTACTTATAATTAAACTCTTAATAATAATAATAATGATAATAATAATATAAAAACTTACGATTGATCTTGAAGAAGTAAATCAATCGCACAGTCATGGTGTAAAAGACGTCCGTCAATAACTTTGCCAACAACATCTAAACCACCATTTAAGTAAAACAAATTTTAGTTATTTTTAAAAAAATGAGTTAAATATTATATTGTAATAACTATTTAAGAATTACCGATCAGATTTCGTTGACGTGGATTTCTCACCAGATATTCAATAGACTCAACCAATGGATAAGTCGGAAAATGATTTTCAATGACCGGCTCAAGTAGAGTAAATCGTGTAGCTTGGTTGACAATTATGACATATTGATCATCAACAAAGTTGTATCCTTCATACTTGGGGAAGTCATCGGGAGTGGAATTGAGTTTAAAATGATTTATGGAATATAAGCGGCCTTCCATACCTCTTTCTAGGTATCTTCCTATTAAAGAGCTAGGCACAACCACCACCATTTTTTCTCTCTAGTTAATAAAAAAATTGTTAAAAAATAGTAATAGAAAAACTCTTTATATGGTGAAATTAAGCATTATATATTTGGAACTTACATTTTGGTCAACTAAAAGCATAATTAGTTTGTTTTCCCTTGTATCCACCCAAACAAAATCAATCCGAACGCAAGCGAAATTATACCATGCATATGGACTATTGAGTGACCGAAAAGAGTTAACATTGAAATACATATCCATTTTCTACAAAATTTAAAATAAAATGTAAAAGTTAAATAATTGATAACAATATTATTAATTTAAATATTAAAAAGATTCATAATGTTCATAACAATAAATATTGTATTTATAATTATTAAAATAAACAATAGAAAATACAAATATAAAATATTTCAGACTTTCATTTACAATATTAATTTAAATATTAAAAATATTCATAATGTTCATAACAATAAATTATATAAAGTATAACATGTAGCAAAAAAAGATAATGATATGTAAACAAAATAAAACATGTAAATAAAAGAAACTACATAGTATTATCAAGTTTTACATGTAGGAAAAACTAATACTATATTAAAATATAATAGAGTAAAACATGTAGCAAAAAAGGATAATGATATTTAAACAAGATGAATAATGTAAATAGAAAGACTTTCAATTTACCTCTATTTTTGGTCACAAGTCAAAAGTAAGCACCGGCCTGTATCATAGACATGATTAAAACAAAAATAAGTTGTTAAAAACCAAATCAAATATAAACAAAATTGTAAGTGTTACTCTAAAGTATATACTAAAAACTTGTTGCTAGGTAAATGAAAAAAAAATCAATACACATCACTTTATATTAAAAATAGAAATTAATCAATTTTTAAACAAAATTGTAAATGTTACTCTAAAGCATACACTAGAATTTGTTGCTAGGTAAATGAAAAAAAAAATCAAAACACATCACTCATTATTAAAAATAGTAATTACGATTTAATTTTTGTATATCAAAATACAACAGAAAGAAAAGGGAAGCATACCTTTTTTTTAAAACTCAGCTTCTACAATTTGTTTATCAACCAATGAACATATTTATATTGGTTTTCCTTTTGGAATCTTTTGCTAGTACTGATTTTGATGGTCTAGAAAATAGTGTTTCATAGGCTATTTACTCACTAATAAAAAAAACTAATATCATAAGTACAGTCTATACAAACTGTTTTTATTGTCTATTAAACAGTTTTTTTACAGTCTATAAGCCTTTTTTTAAGAGTCTATAAATTGTTGTTTTCTTTTTACATGCTTTTACCTAATATTCTACTGTTTTTGACTGTCAAATAAACAGTATTTTAGACAGTCTGAAAAATACTATTTATGACCACCTATTTACCTACTAATTTATTGTTTTTGACATGGGTTTTACCTACTACATTGCTGTTTTCACAGTCAACAATATTATCACTGACAACATTTGTACCTAATAAAATATTTTGCAATCAGAAAAATACTTTTTTCACATGCAATCAATTTGTGTTTAAAAAAACGAAATACCTTTATTTGTTTTATTTTATTCGTTATTATAAATTCCTACTTTCACATAAACACAGAATATAAAAAATGTACCTTTACATTTAAGATATGCATTAATTTTTTTTATTCTATTCTTTAATAAAGCATCTAACTTTCACATTAACACATTCAAAAACATATAGATAAATATAGAATGTTATGACAATAAAAAGTGAGAAAATATGATGTTATTATACAAAACTTGTATGATCAATGTTTACAATGCAATAAATAGCATCATAATTTCAATTTTTGGTTATATTATAATCGAATCAATTAAAATAAGATGATATTTCTTATTCCTTACAAGGAAGGGCAAGAAATATCATTGTACTTCAATGCCGACATAATCATGAATAGCAACTTATTTTCGTAAGAAAGAAAAGCATAAAAAAGTAGGATCCCATAATATAGAAATCTTTGAAAGTACGATGTTATTTCCTACTTTGTATTTTAAAAACTGGGAAATAACAAGGTACTTTCACGATTTCTTTATCATTTAACCTTACTTTAACATACATACATACAATTACACACTTATGAACGGATTACATTTTAGAAAAAATATCATATTTCTACCCCTACTAATTTTGAAGGTTGTCCAAACACATGAAAAACTTGTACCTAGCAAAAAAAAAGTTAAAATATAAGCCATCATAAAACAATCATGAATTGTATACATATTTGCATCGTAATTTAATTGTTGACTTAAGAGTATCTTACTTTCATTTCAATGAGAAAAAAAAAGTGCATTTTAAAAATTGGATCAAAGAAATTATGATGTTATTTCATGCTTTGTATTTAAAATATATTAGAAAACAACACTAAAAAAAGGAATCAATGAGAGTTTGTATTTACAAAACACAATATAGGATCAAATAGTGCATCATATAAATATAATCTAAGTTTAATTGTTGCCTTAAAGCTTCATAATTTCATTTTAGTTAAATAAAAAATAGTGCATTATAAAACATGAATAAAAGAAAGTATGATCCTATTTCATGTTTTGTATTTAAATAAGCATGAAAAATAGGATGCTATAAAGAGATTCAATGCAAGTATGATGCTATTTCTAACTTTTTAAAAAAGAAATACTGATACTTGTAATAAAATCTTTATAATTGCATTATACTTTTACATACATACATGATCACATACATATACCATACAGTAGGATGCCATTATATACCTTTCATAAAAAGGTTTCATTTTTGTTCTTTAAATCAAATAAAGGCGCCATTTAAAGTATGATGATATTATCATTCCTGTTTAAACTACATGTTTGTGATATGTTATTTCAGCAAAACATAGTGACCTATTATGTATTTTGTTTAACATATATTCATAAAATTTTCAATGAAATTACTTTGATTTGATTAATAGCAAAGCTATTTATCCGTTTTTATGTTTATAACTTTACCAAAAATGGTAAAAGTTCTTAGATGAAGATGGGGAATAAGAACAATTGTTTCTATCTTTTTGACAAGGGGTGAAATAGGAAATAAGAAGATAACTCCAAATATGTTTTCATTGTAGGATGCTATTTTCGGTAAAATAAGCTGATTTGATCGTAGTATATATTTATGCATATCTGATTTCATTTTTTTTTCCGGAAATCTATTAAGCGTTGAGCCACCGCGTCAAACTGAAAATCATAGACAAAATGCACAATACATGATATAGCATATTATGGTCCTGTTGTGTAATATAATGACAATTCCTGCAACTGTTATTTATAGGGACGATTCTTGCATATGTTAGCATCCTACTTTCATTATATGTTGTATTTTTTAAAATGAAATCATTGACAGGAAGTAAAAGTTGGGTGTTTAATAAATATATTATGTTTAATAAATTATGTGATAATATATTAAACTATTACAAATCTTAAAATCTTAGTTTGCCATCCCACTTATTTGAAATAGTTTTTCATGCCTTTAACTACTTCAAAGATCCAAATCGTAGTAACCGTATCAAATGCTTATACATTTCTAAGAAATAAAATATTTCACTTCTATTTGTATCCATCTCATAAAAAACATTTGTGGTGAATTTTGTATTATCGAACACTTTTGGGTTATATTCTTGATTTACTGAATATGTTTTTTAAGGGTAATGGTTTAATTCATTTACTCCATTTTTTAAAACATTTAACTTTAACTCAAATAACTGTAATATATTCCAATACTGCCCCTTAAAAGTCAATCTGTTCACCATGTTATTTTAATCAGGGACAATTCATGTAATGTAGAGTTATATAATTGTTTTATTTTTATCGAAATTAGGGGATATTATATTTACTTATTTAAAAATATAAATTTGTCTAACAATCAAATTATAAGTTTTAAGCAACATCACCTAGAAATGCATCCGTTGCCTCATCATATGGTTTTCGTGCTTCAATGTATATGGGGTTCTTGGTTAACCTGATTAAAAATAAAAATAAGTAACGGATTTTTTACAAAATAAATGGACCATTCATGTTACACTCGCCTAAATTAACATGTATGCAATAAATTCTGCCACAGCAAATATACGAAGAGTTTAGAAAAATATCAACTACCTTCAATAAGTATTTCCTTAACAATTAATCACACACTTTCATCAGATCTGAAAAAAAAAACCATAAACTATGAGTTAATCATGAATATATATATATATATATATATATATATATATATATATATATATATAACATAAAAGTTTAATTGAACTTAAATAAACACCAATAATTATACCTAAATAACATAAAAGTTTGTTGGTGCAAATCTGATATCATTCCTTCTCGATCTACTTGCATTTCATATATACAATAGAATAAAAAATCACAAAATCAGAATTTTTATGTGTAAATAGATAGAAAAAGAAAATGTTGAAATGGTTCGTTCAACAAATAAAAACGCAACAGAAATATAACCTGCTAATATTCTAAAACACCAAGTAAAATCAGAGTTTCGTTCAACATCCATGGGATGCACCGTTTCAGTTTTTTGGACCTGAAAAAAACGATTTTTGTGTCTATTGGAGTTTGTTCATTATTATGGAGAAGAAAACTGAAAAATCAAACCAAGTTAGAAAAAAAAAGAACCTTTCTCTCGTTTGTACTGCACGATCGAAAACCTCAAGATTGTATGAGCCCTAGCACATGGAATCGCAAGCAACACCAAAATCGATTAAAACAGGACAAAAGGTACGCGATTTTGGCGATCTTTTTGAATTCTGGAGAACAAAACTCAAAAACCGAAACAAGTTATAAAAAAACGAACCTTTCTATCGTTTGTTCCGCACAATCTTTGAAAACTTTGGGATTGTATTAACCCTAACACATGAAATCGAAACAAAGAAGCAAAATCGGTTAGCACAGGACAAAAGATAGGGGCTTTTGGCGATTTTTTTGTGGCTAATGGCGTTCGTTCAAAATTCTGGAGAACAAAACTCAAAACAAAAAACCAAAATCGAAACAAAAAACCATCTTTAAACCAAAATCGAAACAAAACTCAAAAAAACGAACCTTTCAATCGTTTGTTCCACACAATCTTCGAAAACTTGGAGATTGTATAAACCCTAGCACGTGAAATCGAAACAGACAAGCAAAATCGGTTAGCACAGGACAAAAGGTTTGGGATTTTGGCGTTTTTTTTGTGGCTAATGGCGTTCGTTCAAAATTCTGGAGAACAAAACTC